CATATTGTATCAAAAAAAAGAAAAATAATAACAATTGTGTGTGAACCAGGTGAATATATATTTTACATATACAATGACTCATGTCGTCTCACATGCGTTATTTCAACCAGGTTTTATTGGTGATCGATGATGCATACAATACTTGATAAAAGAGAACAAAATAAGTGACAATAAAGCAAAATGCCTCTGATTTATTAGGTTGATATTTCACATTGAAAATATTCTTTAATGCTGTGATATTTAGACGGTGCATTCGTTCCTTCGAGACGACTTGATCTTTTTTTCATCAGCCCTTTTCACATAGATCACAGCTCAGAAAAAAGACTAAAATTGACGCAAATGGTTGTATGCGTGCAAAATACAATTGTATACGTTCCTTTTTCGTTTTATGCTTGACTGCATTATTACTATAGTGTCTCATTGTATTGTATACGAAGAAATACGATGTGTATGCGACTTTGTTTATTATCAAATTCACAGAGGCTTCCCATCACTGAGACGTATGCTATATTATTTTTATCACTAATCGTATCTGCTTTCTCGTCACCTGTGAATATAGTAAAACTAATTTGTTTAATAAATTTAAATATAATTTAATTATATAAAACAAAATTTATCGGCGATGAACTCAATTCGAATTTTTTCCGAAAATTTAAACCGAACAGAAACAAAATCGAGGGAAAGTTGCAAAAATTCTGAATCGAATAGAACCGGAATCGATATATTTGTTTTATGTCAAAAATAAATGCCTAAAATTCCATGAGAGAAGACTAAGACTGATATATTTTTAAATTAAAATCGTTCACCTTCTTCCCAATGATTGTCACATTAATCTTTGTTCTTATATTAAATGACTCTCTGTATCCCAAGGCTTTCTGCATGAGTGATATCTTATTTATCATTGAAGACTCTTTCTTAAATATTTTTAGTGATTTAAAAAAATGTTAACTTCAATCAATATATTTAATCAGAAATACGTTTAGTTTTCAGGATTCTCACCTGAAAATCAATGAAGACTGAAACTAAAATGATTTATACATTTTTTTTTAATTCTAAAACATTCTTTCAGATGCTCGAAACTTCCGTGGTGTTCTTGGAAACTATTTTAATTATTAGTATTTCAAAAACAAAAGAATTCTAAGAGAAGACTACACTAGAATCTTTATCCACTTGGAAATTACAGTATATCTAGAACAAGTTATTATAGGACATGAAAGGGGTGAACTTTAACATATATATATGTAAATGAGTTCATGTTTTTCACTTATTATTTATTTTACTCGTTCATATTAATAAGGAAGAAATATTCATATTGTATTAACTTTGATTTAATTGATTGTTACATCAAAAATGTGTTCTTCAACGAATATAATTGCTTTGTGAACCTTTTGTTTTAGACGAACAAGGACAAGAAAATATATAAATACTTTATTTGTTACTTATTTATCTAATATGTCAATCTCTTATTCTTATTATTGTAAATACTATTGCAATAAATCTAAATAATAAAAATATCAACTAATGTAATAAATTAATACTTACCGTTGGATGTGCTATTAAGATTAAGAATGTTCGTTTATCTTTATTGTTCTTTACAATAAAGAACGGGGTAGGTTTGGGTGAGTGTAGAAAAGATTAACATTCGCACTCTCAAAATGGTGGAACTGATGTTGTATCATTAGTTTCATCTAATATAATTGTTTCAATTGTATTCACAATAATTGAATTGATAGCTGTCCTATTACATGTATTCAATTTTTCTTTTGAAACAGTAATAACCTTTACTCTTTTAGACATTTAACTATTAAATTAGAAACCAACCACAAACATGTAAAAGACAAAACAGAACATAAAATAGAGAAGGCTGTGCAGTCTTTGTGTTTTTCAAATCATCTGATATTAATTAATCGTCCTCCAGCTTCCTGAATAAAGATAGATGGAAAATATATGCGACAAAATTTTAGGCATAGAGATAGAATAAAACAAATTTTTAGCACTTTATATCAGTATTGGCATATTAACCATCAGAATAGGAAGATATCAGGAAAAGTAACAACTTCTTATTGCATTTCTGAACTTTTCCAGGAAGACAATTACATCCTATTGCTTTACTGATAAATCGTCTACAAAATAAAGGAAGATTTGATTCTACGGATACTTATTTGTTTATTCTCTCCAAGTAACATTCAAAAAGCTACAGTATCATAAATATAGAAAAGTAAATAGATAAGTTCTTTTTTGCATATATCTTTTCATGCATCATCCTCATGTTATTAAACATGATTACATATCGAAATATTATTTGTGGTGAGAAAGAACGTTGATTCACATATCCTGTAGTTATTCTAGATATATATGTATGAAAATATCACAGAAAAAAATTTTTCTTTGTTCTTTAATTGATATTTATTTTATAATAACATATTACACCTCTAATTGAGATAAGTCTATTTAAAAAAGAAATGGTTCATTTTCTAAATGGAAAATACCATTGCATTTCATGTTCAATTTGAAAGAAAAAAAAATAATCGGGCTGGATATTTTAACTACCGACTGGATTGCAATCATATAAGATAATAAAACAATAGTCGTGCACGACAATCGTTTACTTTCATCGTAAATCCTAATCGTATTTGAACGTATTTTGTCGTATGTGTTAATTGTATTCAGCCGTCGTATAATGATGACCATTTTCTGATGTATTTGCGTGTATATGGTCCTTTACGATCGTGTTTTTTAAACCTGAATAGACATTTCCTTAGTCAATAATGATCAATGCGATGAAAACAAGAGGAATCACCTAATTTGACTAGTCGATCGGTACAAGAAATTGAAAAAGTTCCTATTTCTGAAGACAGGTACAAAAATTCAAGTCGCCCTTTACCGATTTGAGATCGATCACGAAACGAAGATCAGTTTCAATAGAGCATACATTGCCATTGGTTATTTCTGTCGACTATTTGCTTGATTTAATTTGAATACAGATAAACAATACTATGCATGTTCTTCGCTTGCTAGACTACATGTTCCATGCAGAAAGTCATTGTGATGAATAAGCCTAAACTATGCACAACGGATTCATGCTAACTTCAATTTGAGACATTGATCTGTTGATTTTATTTGTGGTACATGTTGCATAAGTTAATGTGATTACAAGGAAAAGTTTATTTTTCGGAATGAGTTGCACATTTTATGAGAATGTGTAAGAAACGAAAATGCATAATTATTGACATGCAAAGAAGGAACGAAGATGATTATCATACAAGGGCATCATCAAGTGAAGAAAATACAAGCGCAGATATTGACTGCACTTTGTACTGGACAACGATAAAGAATCAACAAACCTGCTTCAAAAAGTGCTCGATCATCTATTACAACTGTATGACAACAAGAATTGAACATTAGTGAATCAAAGCTAAATACACGAAAAAAATAACACCATTTCATTTCCAACAGAACAGATAAAAAAAACAACGCAATTTGTCAAAAAATTCTAGTGACAGTGACAAGAATGTCTATTTAGCTTATTTCTTCGATTGTTATGTAGAGGTATGTATGAAGAAGTTTCTCAATACTGGGCACCTCGTCAATCATCTTGTAGCTTGAAAAAATCCTCGTTTACTCAAGCATGTTTCATTACGCGACTCTGAAATGCAGATATACACCTCAAAGTTCAACTAGATCGACCAAAGAGAGCTCCTGTTTGTTATCATACAGATCGAGACTTGAGCACTTCTAAAAACTCAAGAACTGTGGCAACCGAAATCGAATATGTCACAGACAAAGTTACCTTTGTTTTTGAGGAAAGTAAACTTTGGAAAGCAAGTCAAACTCGCAATTCCTTTTCACAACTCAAATCAAGTCAACAGGCATAGTTCAAAGTTGATTGTCACGAAGGTGAGAGGATGTCGAAGCATTCAAAGAAGAGCAGGTGATCGATGAAGAATCTCAACGTCAACAACTTCAGCACAATATTCACCATATTTATAAGCTTAAACTTACAGTGTCTTCGAAATGATCATCTTCGCCAGTAGAACATTTTGAAAAAGACAGTTTTTGTACCAAGAAAACCTTATAATTTATCTGAATCAAAATCCATTTAGCACATATTTTCAAATTCTCTAACAAGAATTTCTCCGACGAAAGTTTTCGCATATCACACATCAATTACATCTGTATCTATGATCAGCAGGTCACAAAACTTAATTTTCGAAATTCTTGTTTTTGAACCATCATATTCATTCTCAGTATTTTGCTTTTTTTGAGTACTCTCCAGACATTTCAAAAATATAAAATATAGTGTATATGTGGAGAAAGGTATTGCTTATAAGATAGTCTAATAACGTTTGCGGTAAAGAAAGTCTAACATTAGTTTTTTTTTTCTAAGCGAAAGTTCTGAGAAAATTGAAAACAGTTCTTTGTTTTTTCAAAACTTGGTAACTCAACGAAAAAAGCATTATTTTGATCTAAAATTTCGGTTGCAGAGGTTTCTCGACATGAACTATTAAATGAATATGAAGAAAGATGATTTAAAAATTATATTATGTTATACTTGTATATCAGAATAGTCCGTTGTTTTGTGAACCGTCTGTTAAAAGAGATTTCTTCACTACTATTCAACAAAACACTAAAATAAATTGAATGATTCTGAAATTAGAAAGTGTACAAAAATCTGACTGTAATTCATAAGTTTCGATCGTTGTGAAAGTACTTCAGAAAAAACCAATCAATAAACATTATATTCAGAAACTTTCGCTTATCGTAAAGTATCCCACAGAATTATAATAAATATTAGTTTTTGATAAAAAATTCTTCATAATGATTCATTTATTCTTTATATTCTTATACTTGACAATTTTTTTTAAATATGATTATTAAAAAAAAAACGCTTTGTGTAATTTCTATGATATATTCAGTTCTTGCGAAATAATTACGCAATTCTGTCTTAGTCATCACTAGAAAAAGAGACGAATAGTTTTTATTTTTAAAATTATTTATTCATGGCACGTCAACAAGCAAAATTACCAATAAAATCTTTTGAATATTCAGAACTTATTGAGAATTTTCTTTATCTTGGTAGTAGTCAAACATCGAAAAATTTAGAAGGTCTTCATTCATTAAATATAACTCATATTGTAAATTTAGCTGGTAAATGTTATTATCCATCAGAATTTACTTATGGCGTATTTCATATTAATGATGGTTTATCAAAAAATAAATGTGAAAAAAATTTGCCTCTTATACTTCAATTTATTGATCAAGCTCGTCAAGAAAAAACTTCTAATCGTATATTAATTCATTGTCGTGGTGGAATGAGTCGTACACCATTTATAGCTATTGTCTATTTAATACATTCGATGAATATGACATTAATTGATGCATTTAGTCTTGTTAAAAAATGTCGACCACAAATACATATACATGAAGAACATTGCAAAATGTTATTAGATTTTGATAAATCAAATAGTTGTACATTAGAATTCTTATTAAATAAATAAACAAATAAATAAATCTTTGAAAGTAATTTGAAAATTTTATTTCATTTCTTCTTCTAACTTTCACTTTTGCACATAGACACCAACATGCACGCATGGAGAAGAGCAAAAAATGAATCAAAAAAATAATAATAATCGTTATCATCAAGAAAAAAAAGTAGAATGCCGAAAGACTTGGAGAAAGAACAAAAGAAACCAACAAGAAGTAAGATCAACTTGGGCATGAATGAAACATAACAAACAAAATAATAATAATAATAATCAATAAATTATAAAAAGAAAAGGTTCATACACAAACATATATATTAGAGAAACAAACAGCCGCTTGGCGTACACAAAAAAGAAAACCATATAGGTTAACACTGTATATTTGTATGTCTACAAAAACTCAAGCACCAATGTCTACATTTTGAGATATATTCATATGTAGAGTACATAGCAGTATAACATATACATAAGGATTAAAAAAAAAACATGGAAAAAGAATTTATGTCGGTAAAAATGTGACTGGTTGAGATAGTGGATTAGTCCATGCGCATATATTATTTCCATCCATTAATGTTCCATTTGGGGTAATTGGTGTACTCAATTGATTTTGTAAAGTTTGAGCTGTTATAAGTGCAGCTGTAGCTGCAGCGACTGCTGTTTTTTTCACATCAAGTAATGATGCTGATGTATTATTAAGTATATCTTGAGAAGTTACTGTAGCATTTAATGCTTTATCGATGGATTGTTCAACACGTGTATAATCAGCCTAAAATAATTAAATTATATTTTTAAATAAGTATTAAAAAAAAAGAACTATGAGATAGAAAATTTGTTCATTTGAGTTAAATTTTAGAATGAATATGCTTAGGGTTTTTGTATGTTGAATATGACAACAGAATAAAATTTTGTCCGGTTCAGATTATTTTTTGTTAAGATCAGAATGATCATCATTATTTCAAAGTAGCAATCCTAACAGATTATCTAATCTTTCTGGAAATATATTTTAATAATATTAACACAAACTTGAAACTATTTATACAACAAATATCGTCTGTGATAATATGTGTTGATATAAATTTGAGAAAAAGTTTGATTTCTATAACTATAAGAAAATCTCATCAACATTTAATCTTGATTATTTGTTAATGGAAAGCAGTAAAGCGCTTTTTGTTTTGTTTATCATTTAGAAATTCTTCTCTTCTTATATAACAAATTAGAGAAAATTATCTATGTTACTCGAGATGAAGTTTTTCATTTTAGTGACATATTTTTATACTTCTAGTTCACATCTCTGCATCCTGATACAGCTTATCAAAGATAGATATCTTGATTTCTAACTTAATTGAAGACGAAAAAGTAAAATATTGTTTTTTAAGATTATAAATCTTAGATTATTTCGTAAATTACTATTTTTACATTTGTCTTTTTTTTTTGCATAATCACAGTTTTTTGTCTTTTGTATTCTACGATTTCTTGCTTAGTATTGTTTAAGAATGTGTACCTTGAAACATTACTTTGAAAACATTATAGTTATACTCATAAGCATGTTCTGAATATAGATATATTAAATATATCTATTCAACAGTCTCAGTCACTTGATTTTAGAAAAGCAAAGTTTCATAAAATTTGCAATTCTATTTCGAAAGAATAATTTCAATAATGTAAAAACTATTTTAATATTAACATATACAATAATTATCTTGGAATTTCACAAAATAGATAAAAACATTGGGTAACTTCGTCTGAAATATTTTCTCATAATAAAAGATAATGAAAAAAGTTCAACAACAACATATTTTTGAGGTGTTATATGCAATGGATTCTACTCTAGATAAACTATGACGATAAGATTTCTAAAAAATCGGGCGCTATTTTAAAAAGCACAGAATTCTGAACTAAATTAGGGATTGTTGCATTTTCTACCACCTTTCCTTGAAAAGTATTACAAAAACCGTAAAAATACGAAAGATAACAAAAAATCAACTCAAAATGTGTCTGATTTCTTAGAAATCTTGCCATCATATTTCATATAGTATATTATGCATTAGATAGAAAACTCCATGGCCTATTAAAATCACTATCTAGATTTGAGCTAGGTAATCAACATTATAGATAAAAATAACGAAAAATAAGATATGTAATATAAAATGTTAAAAGTATTTGTAAAAAGGAAAAAAGATAATTACCTCATGAATTAAACCGAGTTCCAATAATTCTTTTGCTAAAGTATTAGGTGTTTCCTCTAAAAGAATTTCTGCTGTCATATCACGTTGTAATCGATCTTGAAATTTCACACTAATAAGTAACTAAAAAATAAATAATAATAATGAAAATTGAAAAATTAAATTCAAATAATAAATTTTTACCAAACATGAACGTGTTTCTTTAGTTTTAAGTTTACATTGTATATCAATAATTCTTCGATTTTCTTTTTCATCACTATTTGATGATAATGTTGGTAAAGAATTATTATTAGATATAGTTGGTATTAATTCATTAGTATTATGTTCAGAATCATTTGTTGCTGATATAGATCGTTCAAATGTTGTTAAACCATTACGTGATTTAATTCCATTCGTTAATGTTGTTATATTTGAATCATTTGTATTCATTGGATAATTAACAAATAAATCTGTTGTTGATTGTGCAGAAGTTGTTAAATCTGTATCAGTATTTATTAATGTCGATGCAGCTAATGATGAATATGATGATGATGCTGTTAAAATTCTATCTGTATTCGAAAGTCTTGTTGAAAGATTTAATGAACTATGTGTTGGAAATAATAGATGATAAGCTGTTATAGGATGTAAACCATTTTGAACATCTTCAAGAAGTTTATCTAAATCAAATGATGGACAGTCTTTATAACTAAAATAAAGAAAATTTTAGAGTTCTAATTTTAAATTGAATCATATAAAATAACATACGTAAAAATAACCGATTTAACACCTTCACGAATCGGTTCTAATTCAGCAAAAATTTGATCATTTGGTAATGAATGATGAAATGGTGAAACAAATGAACGATCTGGTTTTGAGCCTATTTTATTGAGAAAATAATTAAAAATTTATTCATGTTTTTTTTTCTCTTACGAATATCATCTGCTAATGAATGAACAGATAAAAGTTTCAATGTTGGAATTTCAAATAAAGCTGGATGAAAAAGTAAGTCATGTGCTGTTGGCCGTTTCAATGGATCGATTTCGAGACATTTTAGAACAAGATCCTTTATTTAAAGAAGAAAAATTTTTGATTTGTTATGATTAATTTACAAAAAAACAAAATCTCTTTCTACTTTTTGAACAGGATTATCAAGAGTTGCAATAGCGTCATTCACAACATCATCTGTTACTGCATGTGTATCACCATTACCACCAAGATCAAGATTGATCATCTAAATATTAGTATTGAAATATTTCTAATCATTTTAATGAAATTAGTTTAAAAATTCTACATATATTCTTGTAAAAAAAATCACTAGATTCTATTAAAATTTTATTCAATTTATGGTTCTGTCTCCTCCCTAAAAAAACTAATTTCGCGCCAGATACATTCAAATCATCTAGTATGTTTTGGAATGTGTTGAAGCTGCATTGGAAAAGCTAGAATAAGTTTTCAGTTCTATGTAGAGCTCGTTGGGTTGATCCCGAACTCATCCAGATCCAAAATTTTTGAACTCGATAGGCTTTACTTGTTCGAGAAATGTGTAAGATGCGTTAGTCATCAAATACAACAAAACATATCTCGTCTATTCGCTGTGACTAAAGCCATCGACACATTAGAAGACCCCCCCCCCCCCCCCCCCCCCCCCCCTCCCCCCCGTCCCATCGTACACACTCTCTTTCTTTTTTTTTTTTTTATTCTTATTATTTTCTATTCCTC